GTGCAGCGCCAGGCGTTCCCCGCCGAATACAAGGCTCTTAGCGAGGGCCAAGTCCTTCGCACATCGAGTTGCGTGTTGGCTCTTTCCCCATTCCTCTCCAAGGATGGGCTGATACGCGTGGGGGGGAGGCTGGCCCACTCAGGGCTCGATTTTGACACACGTCATCCCATTTTGTTGCCGCGTGGTCATGTCTTGACTCAGCGCGTAATACGGCAGGAGCACGAGCGCAACGCTCACGCGGGCGTACAGGCCACGATCGCGGCAGTAAGACAACGTTATTGGCCGATATCTTTAAGGTCGGCCGCGCGAAATCTAATTCGCCATTGCGTGGTGTGCTTCAAAAGCCACCCAACTCAATCGGAGGCCATCATGGCATCCTTGCCGGCGGGACGGGTAAATGCGTCGAGACCATTCGCGCATTCTGGCATAGATTATGCGGGTCCGTTCATGGTGCGTGAATCCAGAAGGCGAAATGCTCGCACGCACAAGGCATATTTGGCACTATTTGTGTGCTTTTCTACGAAATGCGTTCATTTAGAACTTGTCAGCGACCTTACCACCGAATCATTTCTAGCGGCGTTCAAGCGTTTCATATCCCGCAGAGGGAAACCAGCCTGTATATATTCCGACAATGGAAAAACATTTGTAGGTGCCCAAGGGCAGCTCGACGAACTCTGTAAGTTTTTGCGCACCGACCAAACGCAAGCCGAACTAGCACAGGCTTTGCGCGATCAAGAGATCGAATGGAAATTCATTCCACCCAACGCGCCTCATTTTGGAGGCCTATGGGAGGCCGCCGTCAAGTCCGCTAAGCGGCATCTTAGTCGGATAACCGGGAAAGCATCCTTGACATTCGAGGAGCTGCAAACAATTTTTTGTGAAATAGAGGCCATATTAAACTCACGTCCTCTCACTCCGCTAAGTGAGGATCCAAATGATCTAAGTTCGTTGACTCCAGGCCATTTTTTGATCGGCACCCCTCTGAATAGTTTCCCCTATCATGACTTAACCGATGTAAATGAAAACAGATTATTGCGTTGGCAGCGAGTCGAGCAGGCGAGACAGCACTTTTGGAGCAGATGGAGCAAGGAATACCTGCACACTTTGCAGGAGCGGAACAAGTGGAGAGTCAACAAGGGCGAGCAATTAAGGCCTAATCAGATGGTCTTACTGAAGCAACAAGGTCTGGCACCACTTCATTGGTTGTTAGGCCGAGTGGAGGAGATTCACCTGGGTCCTGATGGAATCGCGCGAGCGGCCACTGTCCGTACGGCGAAAGGACAATATACCAGACCGTTAACGAAAATAGCCATCTTGCCGATGGACAAATAGCGTTTATATGTATTAGACATAAGTTAGGGTTAAGATAACTTGCATAATCATAATTTTTACTCATATTGGTTTTAGCATACCATGTCATTAACGATTTTCATTGTACGAGGAGACACGTTTACCTCAATAGGCTTACGGCATTACTCGTGCTAATTTCGAAAGTAGCTCCTTTCAACGGGGGCGGCGTGTTCAGTATTCTACTGGTTGGCGCGTAAAGTATGCCCGGCCATGTCGAGATTGGTCAAGCAA